CAGTAACCTGTTGTAGATTTTCTTGACAGCGGATCGCCTGCCCAATCAGCGTCGGAGAATGTGCGAAGCTGCAGGTCCGATTTGGTGATCGGAAGTCCGAAATGTCGAGTTCCTTGTATATATCTGAGAAGGCGTTTTAACATATAGACATGGTTAGATAATGGATTATGCATATATTGGGAAATGACATTTACTGCAAACGCAATGTCCGGTCTAGTTAAGGTAAGATACTGAAGGGATCCTGTAATCAGTCTATAAACTTTCGGGTTTGACAGCAAGTCATCAGGCGTGAAGTCAGTTGGTAGCTTAGTTGTTGTGGGATTTGCCAGAGGTTTGCACATCTGAAGACCTGCTTGGCAAAGGATGGATTCTGCATATGCCTGCTGAGACAAGAAATACGAATTAGTGTTAGATTGAATGCTTATACCGAGAAAGTGATTGGCTAACCCGAGATGTTTTAAATTGAATCGTGCACCGAGCTAGGAGATAAAGACAGAGATCGCTTGTTTGTCGTTGCCAGTAATAAGTAGATCATCTACATAGACTAGCAAATATATTTGAATGTGGTTATGTGTGTACGAAAGCAGTGATGGATCCGCCTGACTGCACTTGAAGCCGAGGGATATAACGTGGTCGGTTAGTGTAGTGTACCATTGCCGCGGACTTTGTTTAAGTCCATAAATGGCTTTTTGTAGTAGACACACATGATCCGGTAAGGAGGGATCTTCAAAACCCTTTGGTTGACGCATATAAACGATTTCTGATAGTTTTCCATGTAAAAATGCGTTTTCTATGTCAAATTGTTGAATGTCCCTGTCGTAAAAGAGAGCAACTGTTATAAGAATGCGAATGGTAGGAAGTTTTGCGACCGGACTGAATGTTTCGAAGTAATCAATGCCTTGTTCTTGATTATTGCCTTGTGCAACAAGGCGAGCTTTTAGTCTAGCCACTGACCCGTCTTTGTGCCTTTTAGTGCGAAATGTCCAGCGACAGCCTAAAACAGAGGCTGACTTAGGAGGAGGAACCAGAATCCAAGTTCCTTGTTTTTGCAGCGCAAAAAATTCTGTTGCCATAGCATTACGCCAGTCAGCTGATTTTACCGCTTGAGTGTATGAAGCAGGTTCGGAGCTGCCTGTGTCCGTTGTTTGATGAAATAAGTTAAGTCGTGTTCGTGGCTTTAGGGATCCCGTATGGTTGCGAGTGATCATTGGATGATGATTAATAGGTTGAGAACTTATAGTGGTTACTGGATCCGGTTGCGTTGTCTGAGGATCTTTGTTGGTTTGAGGAGAGAAACGCGTGGTGGGTAGAACTATTGTGTCATTTGGTTTGTGCTGGACTTGAGAAATGGGTAAGAGCAGAGAACACGGAATATCCAAAGTAATGTCTGTTGATTTCTTGATTTCCCCTGCATCAAAAGGAAAAGAATTTTCCATAAATGTAACGTGGCGTGAATATTGAATTGAGTTGGTGTGTTTATTTAAACATTTATATCCTTTGTATTGTTCTGAGTAGCCAAGGAATACACAAGATTGCGATTTTTGCTGCAGTTTGTGTCTGAGCGGAGGATGAGATAAAGGAAAACATTCACATCCGAATGTTTTAAGATGATCGTATGAGGGATGCTGTTTATAAAAAGATTGAAATGGGGAATAATTGTTAGTGTTACTAGACGGTAATCTGTTTATTAGATACACCGCGGTATTTGCTGCGTCTGGCCAGAACTGGAGTGGAACCGAAGCCTGATGGAGCAGAGTCCTGGTTGTCTCTATTATATGACGGTGTTTGCGCTCCGCGACCCCGTTCTGCTCCGGTGTATATGGACACGAAAGTTGATGTTGGATGCCGTTTGAGCTGAGAAATTTGCTAAGCGTAATGTTGCGGTATTCGGTGCCGCCGTCGGTCCTGAGAATCTTGATTTTGTAGTTAGTTTGATTTTCAATAAATGTTTTAAAATTAATGAAAATATGAGGAACATCAGATTTGTTCGAACAGGGAAATATCCACGTGTAACGAGAAAAATCGTCAATGAATGTTACATAGTATCTAAAACCTTGGTTAGACGTGACTGGAGAAGGCCCCCAGACGTCCGAATGTAACAAAGCAAGAGGGGTTTTCATTCGATTACAAGATTTAGAGAAAGGCATTTTATGGCCTTTACACGAACTGCAAGCTACACATTGAAAAGAAGAAATGGAAATATGCAATTGCGGGTATGCTGAAGCAATCAGACGCATTGTTCTTTGATTGGGGTGGCCAAGCCGGTTGTGCCACACGGCCGAGGAAGATCTGCTCGCCTGAAGTGCTGTCTGGGATGTATGCGAAGTCGCTATAGGGTACAGACCATCCTTATAGGGGCCGCGTAGGATTATACAGCCCGTTGTCATATCCTTCATAGTAAAACCGTTAGGATTGAACGTAATAGATATATTATTATCCTTAACTAGGTTGGATATAGATACAAGATTATACGAGATGTTAGGGATATGAAGTAAGTTAGATAACTTGAGCTTACGGAATGGAGTGGGTAGGATACCGGTACCGGAATGAGCTATCGGAATGTGACTTCCGTCGCCAATGGTAATGGAGTCAGAACCTTGATAGCTGGTAGAGGTAGTAAGATTATCGGTGTTATTTGTCATATGAGCTGACGCGCCCGAATCAAGATACCACTCGTTGGGGTTCTTGGAATCCGTCGTAGCTGAAAACGCTTTTGGTTGTTTATCATGAGGTTGAGAGGGAACGTAGTTGATGTTGAGCCTGTGCCAACAAGATGTTGCACTGTGCCCTTTCTTGTTGCAAATCTGACACGTTAGAATCGGTTTAGAAGGATCACGACCTTTATTTTGTGAGCCAGTTTGAGATTTCCCCTTATTATTTTTGAAGTGTCCGCGACCGGCATAGAGAGCCGATTGTTGATCGGTGGGCAAAGAAAATCTTGTAGCGTCATTGTGAACGTGGATTTCTTCGCTGATAAGAATCGAATAAAAGTTGTCGAGACTCAGAGAGCTTTGCATTGTGCGGATAATAGTTTTGAAGGCTTGATATTGCGGTGGTAGCCCGTTAAGAATATACATGATGATGTCTTCCGATTCGATTGTAGATCCAGCTGCGGCTATTTGATCCACCAAAATCTTGATGGCGGTAAGATACTGAATCATGGTCTGGTTCTTCATGGAGATACTGTTGAGCTCATTTTTAAGTTGAAGAACCTTTGATCGATTGGAAGACTGGAATCTTGTTTCAAGTGCTTTCCAGATATCTGCCGTTGAATCAAGATTTAAAACGTAGGGTAAAACCGTGGGCGATATTGTAGAACAGATTGCCGCAGAGAGATTTCTGTCGGTGAGAAGCCAGAGAGCAGTGGCGGAGGCAGTTGTGAGCGAAGATGAGGCATCTTGCGCCTCTGAAGCTTTATCAGAAGATTCAAGAAAATGCTCGAATCCATTTGCACGAAGCAGCTTGACGATCTGGTTCTTCCAAAGCGCATAGTTGTCGGTAGTTAGCTGCGTGGGAACGAGAGTGCGGAGGTTGGAGACAACAAATTTGAGGGACGCCGGTATGCCGGAGTCGGTGGAGCTGACGGTCGACGCCGTGAGCGGAGACGTCGCAGAAGAAGCCATGAAGATGAAGATGAGATTTAGGATCTTGCCATATCTGATACCATGTAGAAAAGGGAAGAAAGAAGAATTGCAGAGAAATAAAGAAATTCGTATTCTGTTTCTTTACAGAGACGTGTATACAATATATAGACTTTGCTTAGTTTGTAGAGTACATGTGTCAAGCACAGATAGGAATTTATTTTTAATACAATAAATGTGGTATTTATTCCTTCGTGCTGTTGTCTTCTAATAATAGGGCATTGGGTTTTAGGGTTTGGGTTTGACATCTTTTTAAAGTATCACAATCTGTTAAAATTTTTAATATGACAATCTCTGTAATAATTACTACGGATTAGCTGCAAACATTAATTCTTTAAATTTGCTATAAATAAGTTGATTAGGTAATTTAACAAATTAGCGACAGGTTAGACCAGCTTATATATTAACTGATCGATCTAAAGCAAATATATTACGAGTTAATCCTTGCTGAATTTTTACCTGCAACAAGTATCAATAGATTGATGTGCAATTTGCTATGATAAAAAAATCGATGGATATTTCATTAACAATTATGCTGTTAATTAGGTATTTGTTGTCAATTTAGGTTTTATTTAAGATAATTTTTTTATTATTTTCTAAAGTAGTTTTTTAATATAATTTCTTTTTTAATTAGAATTTTTTGTACTAAAGAATTGTTGCAAAAAGCAATGAAAAAACTATCCCAAACAGAGCATTTAGCTATTAGAAGCTCTTTATAGGTAAGTTTAGAGATTAATATTAAGCACAAAATAATGTGAGAAATCAATGGGCCGAAGTCTTTGAAGTGATTTGCCATAATCACACAGGAAAACCTTAATTAACAATTATATAAATTTAAACAACTTAAATTAATTATCATTAGTACTCGTTCAAAAAAAAAATCATTAAATCAAGCATTTAGAAGACAATTGCTACTGTAATAAGAAGCACAATCTCTGCAAAAAAAAAAAATCGTAGGAGCTCTTTATATAAATGGTTTTAAGAGTGAAGGACAGTTAATTTAAATAGCAAGATGTTGCACAAAAATTATGAGATATTTATATAAAAACTACAAGACAATTTTGTTACTGTAAAACATGAACACTGAAACAAAAATTATTATTTTTCAAAAAAACTATAAAAATAGCGCTACTCTCATTTTCTATCGAATAGCATAAATGTCATACGAACCAGAGGGCCCAAAGACTTACACTTGTTTTAACTGCCCCGGCCAGTACATGATAAATTCTTCTAAACATATAAAGAAGAACAGACTAGATGGACTTTGAGAGATGCCCATCAAGTATAAATTTTATATGCCTACAGAAGGCTGACACTGAATCAAGGCCTTTGGTGGTTATTATGAACCAAAGAAGACGAATTCAAAGCTATTGAAAGCTTGGGCTAATAATGTTGGCCAGTTTCCTTGACTCAATAAACTGTTTTTGCTTAGCCTCATGAGTGGTCATATAATTCAAAAAGGAAGCGAAGTCAGTGTCCTTGTAAAGCCTCTGATCTTCTTTGACGAGTTCAGGCGAAGGACGAACAATGCTATCGAATGGAAGGCTGTGTATGGAGGCAATGGAGTTGCGAGACTTGGAAGAGTTCACGAGGACTCGATGAAGCACACTCTTATACCTCCCGTTGCTGAATATCTGTGTATGGAAGCAAAACACCATTGATCAGTGTAAGTAAATCAAAGGAAATTAATAAGGTGCCATTAACATTAATCTTATTGAAGCAAATTTACAAGCAATTTGAAGCACACTATTTAGATTTCATTTGGGACAGTTTTTTGCCACTGCTTTCTCATTGCTTTCAAGAAATCTGTGCGCTAAAGAACTATTTTAAAAAACAATAAGAAAATTATTCCAAATGAAATCTTAAATATATATTTCAAACATGCATAACTAATTTGTTGCAACCTTCTTATCATTAGTAGGACAGGTTGTTATAAAACTCTATACAATTATTAAAATTTGTCATATCACACCTTCACCATAACAAAATTCAGTAGCAATATTAGGATTTTAAAGAACTCCAACCACATGACATGTGAGAAATAGTTATTCTTACTTATTAAATGATGTAAGACTATAATCCTTTAAATAAGGACCAATTGTTTGTAGTTGTAGTGAATCTTAATAAGAAGCTATTTGTTTTAAAGTATGTTAAATGAAAAGTAAACCAAATCCAAAGGACTTGAATTTTCAAGTGTTTGATTGGAAGTAAAGTAAATAATGTGTGTAATTTTTTAAAACTAATGAATTTTTTAAGTGTTTATTATCAATGTATTTGAAATTCGGACGATTTGACCTAATTTCATATTCAATTAAAATGTGAAGCACTACCTACCACAACGCGTTACCATTGGTCCAGCCCATCATTGCAACCGCCGTATTTTATGTTGAATTAGTTTTACTCCTAAGCAAATACAAAAAAATAATTCATGTATTCATAGCATACATAACAAAATAAAGATTTATTTTTTTCGACATTCATTTCTCAGCAAAATTTTTGTATTAAAATTCTTTTTAAAAAAGCAATAAAAAAGTCATCCCAAACAAAGCATAAATGTCCCTTAAACATTTTTTGCCACACCAAAGCTTGCTCCTAACTTTATCAATATCAACTAGGGAAAATGCATGGAATTAAAAATAAAGGTCAAAACAATACTTAGAAAGACAAGTAAATTTTTTACAAAATATACGTACATACCTCAAGGTGATCGCCAATGTTAACAAAAAGAGAACCAGGAATTGGATCGACTGTAATCCACTCATCACCATATTTGACTTGAAGGCCCTTAATTTCATCTTGAAGCAGTATTGTCAAAAAACCAAAGTCGGAATGTGGTGGCATTCCGAGTGTAAGATCAGGCTCAGGGCACGAAGGAAAGCAGTTCATTACCATCATATGAGTCCCTTCCTCTAATTCTTTGAGCATTGACAGGCCAAGCCCTAAGGTTTCAAGAATGGCCTCCATAAGTACTAAGAATAGTGCTTTGCTCTTTTTTGCGTAAGAGATAGCCTCTTCTCTACATGGTGACATATGAAGATGGATTAGATTGTAGTTATTTTCAAACTATTCTTAATTCAAGTCAGAGTTGATTTAGCTGTTTCAAAGTTGATCCAAGCTAAAAGTCAATGTGATTGCAATCTCCCAAGGGCTAATATAGTTTATTCTACATCAAGCCATTCTACAAAATACAAATATTATCATTAATTAAAGTTTATATTAAGAAGTAACTAAGAAACCCTAAGATAAATTATTGATCCGCCAATCTATTTAGCTTAAAGCATGGCATAGATAAAATTCCAATTTATGATTTATATATCTAAGGAAATAAATGAACATATATATGTAGTTCCTTTTAGTTTATTTCCACAAAATTTGTTAGGTTACGGATTTTACTCTGTAAGTTTAGGTTTCATTTGAGAAAACTTTCTTATTATTTTACTTTTGAGAACGCAATCACATATTTTGTTTGATTATTGTTTCTGTTTGCTTTAAAAAAAAAAAGAGTTAAAAAGTTCTTTTCTACAATAGCTTAAAAAAATTATTTTCTCTACAATAATTTTAGAAAATAGTAAAAAAGCTGTGTCAAATGAAGTTTTAAGTTTCTTTTGAGGCGGCTTTTGACTATTGTTCTTTCACTATTTCAAGAAATTTTTTTACTAAAAAATGACGTTAAAATGTAGAAAGAAAATCATCTCAAATAAAACCTTATTCTATCATATACTTATATATACTAATCATGCTTATTTATTTATACAAGAGAGAGAATGATTTCAAAATAGTTGAATTACTGTTTTGAAATGAATATACATAAACAGTAAAAATACATTAATTACATAAATAATTTTAAATCTTAAAATATATGAAAGATTAGACAAAACTCTATAAAAAATATTTATAAAATAAGTTTAACCATTTCATAAAATATTTAGCAAATAAAAATAATACAGCACGATATAATTGTTTATCAGTTTACATTGATAAAAATATTTAAAATTGTTATCAAGATTATGAAATTATTTTTTATATTAAATTTGTGCTTTTTAATTCGATCTGTAATATATATAAAAGCATAAAAAAAATTGAGGTGTAAATTGAAGCAAGCAGGTCGAATATAAAAGTACGCGATATTCTTCTCTTGTAGAATGTGCATTTGTTGCGACGCGCTGTACGTATGGTCGGATAGCTATTGGCCTATTAAGCTATTAGTTCCAAGGCACTGAGAATCTAAATACAGCTTTCTCTCTCTTTCTCCGCACAGCTCTCGTATCATCCTGGGCGCACGGGCCCCATTTCTTCTGCTACTATTCAGCATCGGCATTCTGGGCCACTCATGCTCTTGTTTTTTCAATTATAATTCGCCGTACGATACTTTGTGGACCACAGTTTATACTCTCATGTTTATGAACAATTATTACGTACTCCGACCGGACGCAGAGGAACGTTCGGTCGGAAGTCAAATCCCGTCAAAAAACAAGTTGTACCGAGCAAATACCGAGCAATACCAAACAATAACGAGGAATACCATCATTTGAACACTTGAATATTTAATTGAATTTATTTTTTATTTTATATCATGTGTCCTCCTAATTTTAAGTCTAAAAGGGTAGGTAAAACATAGTCAAAGAACATTAAAAAAGCACAAAAAAAATCAAATCACTAAAACACAAATAAAGCGCAAGTAAGCATACAAAAAAATATAATCAAAATGCACTCCACATGTCAAAATTTAAATGAAACTTCCGCACATAATAAGTTCTCCATGTTTTGGAATATAAGCTACTAAATTTTTTTTTTTGAAAAGTTTAAAAATCATCATTTGAGGTTGTGAGGAGGTCAGATGCAGCTCTACTTCCGTGCAGCCACGTCAGTAGTACCGATTGGTATCGAGCATTACCGAGCTGCTGTACACAACAAAAGAATGACATAACGCATTCTAATTGATCTGAGGATGATGCTCAGAGTCCGCACATAATAATTTTTCTTGAACTAAAATAGTAAACCCCTATTACTAACATATGTTTTATATGTATAAAGAAAAGAGAAGGACACAGCTCACCTTGACCTGTTAGTTGAGAGCTTAAGCTTTCAATCAAGAGGTCTAAGGTTTGAGTCTTTGTTGTGTGTGTGAATTTGCCTTAAATGGCCAAAATGTCCCAAAAAAAAAAAAAAACAGAAAAGAAAAGGCATTGAACGTACTGAGCTACAAATAGTATCGCTTCCATTTTTAAAGAAAGAATCAAAGTAAGTAGCACTGTGCACAATGGGACATTAATTAACAATAATTACTCCTTGTAAAGAAACACATTTACCTCAGTTCCAGAGGAGAAGATGGCCAAAACGGCAGAATTTTATGCAAAGGATAACAGTTGAGCTTCAAGAAATCCCTCCAATATAAGACACCATCCTGCAATTGATTAAAGCTGGTTCCATATCTAACAGGCGCCCTTATATTGTTCGACATGTACCTCGCTCTCTCCTCATATGTCAATTCAAAGAATCTCTTCGCTGTTGAAATTATCCTCGCTTGCGATTCATTAGGAATCCCGTGGTTCACAACCTTCTCCAAATCAAATTAAACACTAATTAGTCGTAGAACTAATCAAGCCATAGGTGTATTAACTTAAGCATACATATAAATGCATGTGTACCTGGAAGAAGCCATATTCATGGCAAGCCTTCGAAAGAGAATGGAGGACCTTCGATCGACCATTGCAATCCTGTAGCAGTGAAAGATCTATGGTCGGCAATTTGAACCTCGGGCTCGTTTTCTTTGATACTTTTACGATGATCTGAGGGCGTTCAGGGACTGGTAAGATGTACTTGCTGGGTACTTTTTTTATGCCGCTGTCACAGAGAGTTTTCACCCCTTTAAAGTATATGCTTTCCTCTTCGTCTCTCTTCTTCATTACCATATCTTATTGTGGTAACGTGAAGAGGGAGTAAAGAGGAAGAGAATAAGAATATGGAGTGTAAGGGATCGATAGATATATAGCTAGTTTGAAGAGAAGAATTATACTGTGGATGGAGGAAGAGTGAGAAAGAGAAAAAGAAAAGGATAAAGTAGTGAGGGAATAAATGATTTGTGTGAAGAAGAGGTGGAGGAGGGTGAAGGAGGATAAGGATGGAGTATGGGATTTGGCCATCTGGTTAGTATTTGTAGCTGGGGATTTGGAGAGAGAGATACAGAGGTTGAAAGATATATAGCCTTTAGTTTTCTTGAATCCGGTGGACGGTTTTTGGCGGTATCGCAAGTAAACTCGTTGACTAAACGCGGCTGGGTCAGGCCCACGCAGGCTGGGTATGATTGATAAATTATTTGGCTGTGAAAATATGAGATTTAATTTTAAAATTATTTGATTTAATTTTGGATAAATGTAATAAAATTTTGATGAGTTTTTATGCGCTAAATATCTAAAAATAAATTTAATGACTTTAAAGCTCATTTTGATCAAGATTGGGATAGAATATCCTGAGAAAAATAAAAAATCAATGAGAAAATTTATCAAAAAATAATTGTAGACTTATTTTACACTTCCAATTATTTGTTGATATTTTTTAATCTTAATATTTTGTGATATAAAATTCATATTATACTAATTGAGATTAGGAGTGTAAATGAGTCAAGCTAACTAGTGAGTTGGGCGTGAGCTCGACTAGTTAACAAGTTTGCAAGTTGAGCTTATTGAGTTTCAAGCTCGAGCTGAATTTTCAAGCTTATTGGAATATTGAGCTCGAGTTCGATCCAGATGATTCTCGGCTTGATCACTCATCTAGTGCTCGAAAGGTGGAAGGAGAACTGACGAAGCACAAAAGCGAAACGTGTCTGCGCATGCAAACTGGCAAAGCGTGGTAAGCAAGCTAATGAAGTGTGTGCGAACCGCGGAAGGCGAACTCGCAAAGCGCGTGTGAACCATAGAAGGTGAACAGGCATCTGTGCGCTCGAATCGCGGAATCTTGCCGTTCGATAAGCTCTTTTTAGTGGACGAGTCAAACTCGAGCACGTCTTTTGAGCTCAACTCGAGTTCGAGCTCAAGATTTGGCTCATTAGTTAATCTCGAGTTAGGTGTAATTTGAGCTCGACTAGACTCGTTGCACCCCTTTTAAGACACTTCTTATAAGTATACACAAAGATCTTATATGTGCACTTGAGATAAAAATAGAGAGAGATTAAGTTGTCATGACAAAGGTCACCTTTTTTTTTAAATGTAAACAATCCAATTAGTAAAAAATTATGAATTGAAACACACACATTAATTTGAGTTGTAAATTACAAGCCAAGTTCAACATACCCCAAAAGTGGAGAAGCCCAAGGCACGTTACTGTAGGAATTCAATTTGTTTGAGATCATCTCGTGTGAAGTTGGTCAACAGTGTTGAAAGTTATTGGCGTTGATAAGGGATAGTGGATAATGGATATATATATCAGTCAACGATGTTATTCAAGAGTGAAAGAATAGTCAAGCCCGAGCTCTTTTTCATTGGGGGCCCCAAAGTGATTGGCTGCAGATACAATGGCGTGGGTGGTCCGGTAGATAGGTCGGGATTTATGGACTGCCATGCGCGCTTGGCGAAGGTGTGGTAGCTTCCCAGTCACCAGAAAAAAAAAAGAACCTATAAAAAGGTAATGTACTTACTTTTTAGTTTGTATAAATTGTATGAGTGAAACTTTATCCAATGGAAAAAGATTTGTCTTATGATCTATAAGTTTGGTTTAAAAGTAAATCTAAGAAATAAGAGAAAAAAAAATGTAATTTGTATACAAATAAATCTTCTTTTTTGTTGGCTATTCTTTTTTAATTATTTTTTATTACATTGCATTGAAATCCAATTATTTTTTATTGATTTATGATTTGTGCATGAGCAATTTTAAATCCATTATTATGCATACTTTATGATTTAATTATCATTTTTTCTTAAGTTAGATGACATTAAGCTTATTTATTATTCTTTTTCTCCAAGTTAAGGTCTAACTTCAACATAACGTATATGATTATACTTCAACTTATATTATTACTAAAATCAATATTAAATTGGAAGATAAATGACAAAATTCTTTCTTATAAATTTGATACCATTCTGTTGGTTAAATTATTTTTAAAAAAATATTTTATTATTATTACTATTTGATGTTATTATTTTATTTTTATTTTATTTTATACCATTATGTTGGACATGGTTTAGAGAAAGGAGTTGATAGGTGCTAGGAGTTTCACATCGATGAGTGTTGGGAGTTAGACATCAAAAGATGTTAGTCAATAATGGACATCGACAGATGTTGCTTGGAGGATCTCCAATATTGTTGGCCAACAAGCTTTGTCAATGGATCACAGGCATTAAGATTTATATATATTTAAACAAACGCATGAAGTTGGATGTGAAAAGATGTGAATCAATTGAGGGCATTGTGAGACATTGATCACTCAACATTTAGTGTTGGGGGTCGAAAAACATCTATGAAGGGAGAAAATGATGTTTAGAATTGCATATTAGTGGATGTTAGGAGTGACACAATAATGAAGACATTGAGTTGTATGTTGACAGACATATTGTGACATTGGTGGATGGATTTTTGACATTTAGATTATGTTTACTTGGCAATTTTTTGGTGTATAATAATTTAGTTGTTTGAATGACTGCATTTCGAATGCAAATTTTTAAAATAAATTTAGAATTCGCTATCTAATTTATTTTTAATGTATTTGAAATTGATCCAACTTGAATAAATTCAAAATACGCAGCTTGCGTAAAAGTGATACCAACTATCACCATTACTTACCACTGAAATTGGCGTATGCCAGCTGGTGCCTTCACCGTTGAATGTTGTCACACCTGTCATTGTCCACCACTCTCCATCGTCACGTTCCATGGCCAACTGTTACACCTTCCACCTCCAACCGCTAGCTCTTACCTAGTGCCACTTTCTGCCACTTGCCATTATTGCTATCATCAGTCACCGCTGATTATTATTGTTTTAATTAAAGCTCATAATTTATTCTTTACTTTCTTACATCAAATTAAATAAAAATTAATCTCATGCATTTATAATGAATTCAATCAAATGATTTTATTATATTTTCAATACACTGTATTTTTTTCAGTTGAACAAATTACCCCTAAAAGTAAATTCGATCGAGTTTTTGATGTTTCTGGTGTGTACTAGGTCTTCGCACTAGCTGTGTAATATCAAAATCTGCTCCAGCATCGTCCAGGACGATCTGTTGAGAATCTGTTCCAGAATTTGCCCAGATTTGCTCCAGGTGATTTTCTGTATGCATCGTCCAGGCCGATCTAGGCTTCGGCCAGGCCGATTGGCACTGTAGAAAATATCGGCCGGAAAATAGTCCTGGGAACCGTCCAGGACGATCAAATTTGGTCTGATCGTCCTGGGACGATCTAGCAATCGGCCGGGCCGATCTGAGTATTATAAAGCAGAAATCAGTCGTTTTGAAGAGAGAGAAAATAAAAAAAATAAAATATCTGATTTTGAGGAGAGAGAAAGTCGAGGGCATTTTTGGAAAAGTGGATTTTCGGGCGACGCAGAGCCGTTTTCGTCCGAAGAGATTGTTCAGGAATTTGCTGTACGCAAGGTAAGGCACATTCCGCCTTTCTCAATTTTCAGAACCGTCGTTATTATTCTATTATTATTATTATTATTTTATTTTTGTTATTATTATCATTGTTGTCTAATTAATTAAAATTTTGCTCACCCTGAAAAAAGAAGTTGGATTCGCCCATAGATGAATGTTAATCTTGTGGTTGGACATGCTTTGGAGAAATGAGTAGATAGGTACAATAATGATAGCACCGGTGCTAGGAGTTTAACATCGATGAGTGTTGGGAGTTAGACATCAAAAGATGTTAGTCAACAATGGACATCGACTGATGTTGCTTGGAGGATCTCCAATATTGTTGGCCAACAAGCTTTGTCAATGGGTCACAAGCATTAAGATTTATATTTCAACAAACGCAGGAAGTTGGATGTCAAAAGATGTGAATCAATTGAGGGCATTGTGAGACATTGATCGCTTAACATTTGGTGTTGGGGGTCGGAAAACATCTATGAAGGGAGAAAATGATGTTTAGAATTGGATATTAGTGGATGTTAGGAGTGACACAATAATGAAGACATTGAGTTGTATGTTGACAAACATATTGTGACATTGGTCGAGGGATTTTTTTTTTGGGGGGGGAATTTTCAGGGTTGATGGATTTTTGACATTTAGATGATATTTAGTTGGCAGTTTTTTGGTGTATAATAATTTAGTTGTTTGGACAGTTGCATTTCGAATGCAAATTATTTTTAACATCAACTTAGAATTTACAATCTAATTTATTTTTAATGTATTTGAAGTTCATTTGATTTAAATCAATTTAAAATACATAGTTTGTGTAAAAGTGATACCAACTATCACCATCACCTGCCACTATTATTGGCTACTGCCCGCTAGTGCCTTCACCGTCAAATGTTTTCACCCATCATTGGCCACCGTTCTCCATCGTTAAGTTATGTGGCCAATTGTTGCACCTGCCACCACCAACCATCAGCTCTCACCTGGTGCCACTTTCTACCACTTGCCATTATTATTATCATCAGTCATCTCTAATCAATTATTTTTTAATTAAAGCTAATAATTTATTCTACATTTTATGATATCAAATTAAATAAAAATTAAACTCATGCATTTATAATGAATTCAATCAAATAATTTTATTACATTTTTAATACACTACTTTTTTTTCAGTTGAACAAATTACGCTTAAAAGCAAATTTGATCGAGTTCGCCATGTTTATGGGGTCTACTAGGTTTTCGCCCTAGTCACTTCTTTTTCCGTCGTTCTCGCACCTAGAGCCATCTCCCATTGTCGTTTGTTCACGCCGAGGGGAGTTCTCTTCCCTTGTTCTTCTTTTTATTTCTTCGTTTTCATAGTCATTTCTTCCTTCACTGGAATGGCGATGAACCAGCCCGTCAATCCTGTTTTTTGGGCAGGATTTAATAAATCTCGTTCGTTCCTTGATGTGTTATCTAGGTGTTCTTCCTCTGGTTGTTATCCAGACCTTAAGCATATAATTTTTCGTGGTTTATATACCTAGTTTTGTGGGTTTCGGATGACGGATGAGGAATTTTTTCCATAGC